GTTTCTAATAAAACTGTGGCTGAAGAGTTCCTCAAATTAATTTCAGATCTTCAACCTTCTACTGAAATTCAACTTTCAATAATTTTTCTACTATAATTCCATTTTCTGCATCCATGTGCATCTAAGAATAAGAAGTAAAACACACATAAATATTACTTGTAGTAACTAAGGGATGTTTAAAACAAAAATTATGGCATGCAGCAAAACTAAAAAATGCATAAATAAATGTATCAAACAACATAGTTAATCTTTCTTACTCTGAACTCTCTTTGTCGAATATAACACATTGTTGAATACTGTGGTGAGTACACTTCTTTATGAACTAATGCTACTGTTTCAAATGGCAAATTCTCCAAAATGATAAAGCACTAAAGTAAATTTCATTAAAATTATTGATATTCATGATTTGGAAAATTCCTTCTGACAAGATTTTACAATGGAGTAAAATATTAACTTCTGAATGAAAGCCATTTACATTCATTAAGGCACATCTGGGCACCTCCAGGCATTAATATTTATAACTATACCATTATTAATTTCAGTAGTAAGGGATTTCTTAAAACAGACTGTTCCTGAACTCAATCTGCTTGGGTGGGTTAGATAACTAGAACAGGGAAGGAGGCAGGCTAGTATTCACTGTCACCTTAGACATTACCCACACAAATCTGTTCCTATAATAAACAGTTCAGATTTCAAAGTTGAAAGAAGTCAGTAGATGTACACTCCTAATTTTCTAGATCCTACATTGACCCAGATATCTTTCTCTACAAAACCACCATCATTTGAAGTGATTCCAGCATATCTAATTCCTGCCTATTTTATATTTAACACATATGACCCAAAAGAGAAAGAGGAATTTTCTAAGTGAAATTTTCCAAAATGAAAATCTTTAAAAACATTCCTATAGCAAGGAATACACACTAACCCAAAATAGACAATAAAGACCCATAGATGTAATCACAATCAAGATGAAGAATACCCTGCTTTTCTCAGGTTAGAAAATAAAGCTTTTAGAAGAGCCACAATTTTAATTTTAAAATACACTTGATTTAGTTACTCACTGGATTATAAACTCAACCATAAACTTGGGAAATTTAACATTAAAACAACTAACCGAATATTCTCTATCCATCAGTCAAGTTTTGACCACTCGATGTAGAGGTTTATTTACTAAAATGTTTTTTAAAGACTAACTCAGATGTAACACTGTACTATTTTTTTTTTCACCACATCATACTTCCACTCAGGTTAAAGTATAAAAGTTAGAGGCAGAGTAGGCAATTTTATATGACAAAATATGAAACATAATGACTATGACAGGCATGATAGCATTTATATGTGTTTATATTTTTAATACTTGGCAAAAAGTCCTAGAACTTTCCTAGTAACTCCTGAGTTGTAGGTTTTATTTTCTCCTTGAAGCTGGAAAAACGTAGTCTCAAAACCTAAATTTAAAACAAAATCATACAACATAATTTTTGAACTGACAACTAGACTTGATTTAAAGAAAGCAGACATTTTCACTTCTATAATGATTCTTTTGAATTTCATGAGATTGAGCATGAAAATGTATAATACAATACTCTTAATGTTATAAACTTTTCCTCTATTGTACAGAAATATATCTTATAATTATGTCACTTTACAGTATTTCAAAATATTTTCACATATATTATCTTCTTTAATACATGAAAATACAAAATATTTTAAATGTAATAGACTAATCAAGCAATATAACATCTATTTGCCCTGAAATGCAAGCTAGTATTTTATCAATAACCAATATTTAGTATCCTTGCACTCCATGGTACCACAATAAAGACTATATATTTGCAAAGATTCAATAATATTTCTAGCTATTTTGTCATGCTTCACCTCATTTTTTATAACAGCTTCTTGGTAAATTTCTGCAAGCATATGGTAATTTTTAAAAATATGAAACACAGGAGTCAAACCCAGGGGGATGTTTCATATCTAAGACACACATAAATACATACCCATAGATTTTATTTTAAAAACCATTAAATGTACAAAGTATTCTTAATAGAAAAAAATTCCAGACACTCAATTTTTATCTGTAAAAAGAGTGACATCCTCTTACTTGTTCTCCACTACATAAGTTATTTACAAATTAAATGTAAGAAACATACTGTTACATGTGAATATGTATTTAAAAAACAGCATGGTGGAAAAAGGCCACTATTTTAGATAGAAGCCAGGCAGTTTTCTCCTTAAGACTAAATATTCTCAAATTAAATGGAACAGTCTAATCAAAACCCCTAATTAGGAATAATATTCTAAAAATGTCTTACTTCTAGTTCTAAGTAATTCAGATTATATTCATTTATTTTAGTATCTGGTAACTGTTCATGAATATTTTCATATCTGGTCATAAATTTTAATATTTAGAAACTTTAGAAACATGAACACATTATCATGTATGCAAAATTGGTAAAATATTTGGAATTAAATTAATTGTGTTCCTACAATTCAGCCTAATTCAATAACCTACCCTTATCCCCTGAAGCCCGTAAAACTGTTTATTGAGCTCTATAGGGACATTGCGACAATTATCATGTAAGAGGGTCCCTGTATTTCTTGCATGTAAAAAAGAAATTGAAACACAAAAGCAGATTGTATCCTTAAATCCTAATATTCATTTCACAAAACAGAAGAAAGCAAAAACTGGCATACTGTGGGAACTTAAAAATGAGAAAATGTTCTATATTATATTTATGAGAATATGATATACAACACGAAGGCTAAGATTGACATGAAAAATCAAACAAAAGCAGATTGTATCCTTAAATCCTAATATTCATTTCACAAAACAGAAGAAAGCAAAAATTGGCATACTGTGGGAACTTAAAAATGAGAAAATGTTCTATATTATATTTATGAGAATATGATATACAACACGAAGGCTAAGATTGACACGAAAAATCAGCGAAGGCTAAGATTGACATGAAAAATCAAGGTTAAGCAACTAGAATGTTACATGTAAACTTTAAAGCAATAAAATCATATTTCTAAAGACATACTATGGGTGATTATTTTCTAGAAATCCATTGTTGAAAATATGGATCAATAGAAGCAACAGAAGATGATATGACATGCTACAAAACAGGACATGGTAAAAATTCTCTGGGAGATTAAAGTGAATAGAACTTTTCTTAAAAGCCTGAGAGAGACAAAAAAGTCAATTCCTTTCTAAATGAAATAAAGTGAAATGTTTTATCTATTCATTGCTTTAATTACATTTGTATGTATGCCTTAATATTCTCATCACAGTTTCTGATTGTTTTCTAATTTGTAATAATAATTAGTAATAATATTATAGAAAATAAAATTTGCTCTTACCCAGAGTTATGTAACATATTAAGTGCTTACTAGAATTGATATATGGAATTTCAAATCTGTTCTCAATGTCAATGTTTGATGACTCAGAGATGAATCAAACTACACATATATTTTTAAAATATACATTGTGGACTAAGCAACATTATTAATTTCATAATCCATATAACACAGATATACATGGTTTAAGGGATTACTGCCTTGTTGACAGAGTAAGAGGCATGCCTTTTAAAAATGAATAATTTCCTTTCTTATTTTTAAATTCTTTAGTATTTGCATATCAGAATCAACTGCAAATTTATACAGAACAGCCATAGAAAGCAAAGTTCTTTTCTTGGACTGCTGCATCAAAATTTGTTTTTCAGCACTTAATATAGAACACATTTGTATTTTTTTAAACAAAGCAAATTCTTGAAATCATCATACAGTTGAAAGTCCCCCTCTGTTCCATTTAGATTCCAATATAGGAGATCACCCTATGTATACTAGAAATGCACATGCTAGCTTACAAATATGGTGGCTCAAGGATGAGCAGGACGAGAGGGAGAGAGAAAAAGACAGCAGGATTGCCGAATGAGCTGCGGAAGTCAGAGCTCCTCAAGGACATCCATTCCCCTTATCAAGGATCTAAAATGAACACGATGAGGTATGATCAAAGAACCCAAATTACTTTCTGAGTACATTTGAGAAGACCAAATTCTCTCTTCCACCTTAAAAAAAATTATCCCATTAATTAATTATCCACATTAATTAATGTGGTAAAAGTGTGGCAATACAATGAAACTATCCTCTTGATTTTCTACATGTAGAAAATGTAGACTGTAGACTGTAATCTCTTGAAAGAACATATTTTATATATCAAATACTACATGATTATTTCTATATTCCTTGGAAATAATATAAAAGTAATTAATATATACAGAATTTGAAAATTCATATCCTAAAAGCATTACAGAATACATTCATTTATTAGGTCTCTTAAAACTTCTTATTAAATATTCAATTCATTGTCATCCAAAATAAAAAACAAACAATAACAAAACGCTTACAACAGAAATCACAAACAGGTGACTAGAATTTGAAATGTAACCTCATCTCTGTTGATTAGGATGAACCTGTATCATAGTTTTCTCCTCTGCTATCTAAACTGGTTTGTGAGTTTTCTGAAAATTCACTGTAGTAGTACATCATCGTGGCAACTTGTATTTCCAGGATTTTCCCAGTCTTTCTTATGATTTTCACCTTCTTCATCTTTTTCAGGAGGTGATGCACTCTCCTTTTTTTCTGTGAGATTAGAAACTGTTTTTTCAGGTTGAGAATCTGAGTTCTCAGCATGACTGTCCTTCTCTGTGTTTCTCGGCTTGGCAGCTTCATTGCTGGGCACTGGTCTGGGCCTGTCTGTCTCTTCCCCAGCCTCTTTTGGTGCTGCTTTTTTTTCTTCAGCTGTTTTGCTATTTAAATGAATAGCTGAGGAGGAATTTTTGGAGTCCTTGGATTTTTTGTGCATAGAAGTCTGACTGTTATGACTGGAGGCAGGAGGGGCAGGCATTTTCTGAGTTTTGCTTCCCTCCATCTGTTCTTTTCTAGGCGGTCCCCAGATAAAATTCTCTGAAGGCGTGTAATGTTTCTGGGCAAACCGCAGGAGCTTTCTCCTTTCTCGTCTGTCTCTAATTGTATAAACAAAATACTCCAGAGCACTCTGCTTAATATTGGGAATAGTATTTTCCACAAGAGCCTCATGAAGAATAAATTTTACAAGAGGAGATTTAAAACTTTCATATCCAAGCTCACCAAGGCTTTTAAGAATACGGGTGATTCTTAAATAGTTGTGCTGGGACCTGGAAGAGAGGATAGAATAAAATGAGGGGGGGAAAATCAGGTGGAGGAAAGCAGGAGAAAGACAGTAACTGGAAAAACACTTTTTATGGAACTGTAAGGCATGGAAAAAGCCTTGTAAAGAATTTTTAAAAGTCATATTAGACATGATTAAGAAGAATAAATCAGAAGGCATTTATCTCTTATGCCTCCATGTAATGTCAATCTATGTGACACTCAAATGTATAAAATAAACTCTTCTTGTTTGTTTAGTTCTTCATATTAGAAAAACACTTAGATTTGGGACCAAGCACATAGACCTCGTCACAGCTGGACCCCATCCCCAGCCCAGCCGAGTGCATGCCAACCAGAGAGGTGCCCACCCAGAGAGGCCAGAAATGTGTGGAGACAACGTGCCCCACGGTGCCAGCACACAACTGAGCAGGTAAGCCTCACCACTGCCAGACCCCATCCCCAGCCCAGCCAAGTGCACGCTGACCAGAGAGGCACCCCATGGAGAGACCCGAGACCCTCAGCAACCACATGCCCGAGGTGACAGCAGGCGACTGAGCAGACACTGAGGCAGCTATGCCAAACTGGCAGCCCTGGCAGGATCCTAGCCAGACAATACTTTTGAACCAGTGGACCATGAAATCCCTTGCCACAATGACTAAACATCAAAGGAAAGAAACCAGAAATACGAAAAATCAAGAAAGTATACCACCAAAGGTGGTATAATAACTCTCAAGCTCTAGATCCTATAGAACAAGAAGCCCTTAAAGTGTCTGATAAGGAATTTCGAGTGATAATTCTAAGGAAACTAAATGAGATACAAGAAAACTAAGCTAGACAACATGATGAAAGGAGGAAAAGTATGCAGGACCTGAAAGAAGAACTGTACAAGGAAATCAATGCCCTGAAAAAGAATGTAGCAGAGCTTGCTGAGCTGAAGAATTCATTCAACAAAGTAAAACACACAATAGAGAGTTTAACCAGAAGGCTTGCAGAAGCAGAAAAGAGAATTTCTGACCTTGGAGATGGGCTGTTTGAAATAACACAGGCAGACAAAAAAGAAAAAAGAATTAAAAACACTGAAGAAAATCTAAGAGAGATATCAGACAACCTTAAGTGCTCAAATATGCAAGTCATGGGTATTCCAGAAGGAGAGGGAAAAGGTGATTACATTGAAAACATATTCAACAAAATACTGGCAGAAAACTTCCCAGTATAGGAAAAGACACAGATTTTCAGATTCAGGAAGCTCAAAGATCCCTAAATACATTCAACCCAAAAAGGTCTTCTCCAAGACATGTTATAGTCAAATTGGCAACATTCAAAGACAAAGAGAGAATCTTAAAAGCTGCAGGAGAGAAGTGTCAAAACTCCTATAAGGGAGCCCCAATCCAACTAACATCAGACTTTTCATCACAAACTCTAAAAGCCAGAAAGGAATGGAATGATATATTCAAAATACTAAAAGACAGAGATTGCCAGCCAAGAATACTCTACCCTGCAAGGCTATCCTTCTGAAATGAAGGGCAAATAGTATATTTCTAGACAAACAAAAACTGCGGGAGCTCACTACCACATGACCACCCTTACAAGAAATTCTCAAGGGAATACTGGGTATTCCCTTGAGAATTTGGTATGGTACCTGAAAAATAACTACCACTGCCATAAAAACTCAAGAAAAATCAAAACCCACTAGAAAAATAAAAATGCCTCCAATGAAGAGAGGGGGAAAACAAGTTTATCTACAACCCAAGAAACCAACAAATACAGAAGACAAACAGTAAATCAGAAAGAAAGGAACAAAAGACACTTAAGACATCCAAACAAAAATCAATAAAATGCTAAGAGCAAATCAACACTTTTCAATAACAACTCTTAATGTAAAAAGATTAAATTCCCCCATCAAAAGACACAGACTGGCTGACTGGATTAAAAAGGCGGACCCAACTATATGCTGCTTTAAAGAGAACCACCTCACCTATAAAGACTCACTTAAACCAAGACCCCATAAAGACTCACATAGACTTAGAGTGAAAGGACAGAAAAAGATTTACCATGCAAACAGAAATGAAAAATGAGCTGAAGTAGCTATTCTTATATCTGATAAAATAGACTTTAAACTAAAAGCCATAAAAAGAGATATTGAGGGCCACTACATAATGATAAAAGGATTGATCCATCAAGAAGACATAATAATCATAAATATATATGCACCCGATGTCAGAGCAGCCAGATTTATAAAGCAAACTCTATTAGACCTAAAGAAGGAAATAGACACTAATACCATAATAGCAGGGGACCTGAACACCTCACTATCAATATTGGACAGATCATCTAGGCAAAGAATCTGCAAAGGAATACAAGATCTAAACAAGCAACGGATCGCAACCCTCAGTGTCGCCCCCGTACCGGACCGGGGACCGGCAACGGGATTGCAACCCTCGGCGTTGCTCCCGCGCCTCGCTCAGCCAGTGAGCGGGAACCGGTCTGTATGTGGGATCCGAACCCTTGGGCAGGAGCGCCGCCGCGCTTCCCAAGAGGTGCACTTATCCAGTGCGCCACCGGGCCGGCCCAGAATATTCATTCTTCTCATCAGCACATGGATCATTCTCCAGGATAAATCACATGTTAGATCACAAATCAAGTCTCAACAAATTCAAAAAAATTGGAATTATTCCATGTATTTTTTGCAGACCACAATGGATTAAAATTAGAAATCAATAACAAATGAAATTCTGGAAACTATACAAACATATGGAAATTAAACAGCATTCTACTTAACGACATATGGGACCAAGAAGAAATCAAACAGGAAATCAAAAAATTTATTGAAACTAATGAAAACAATTATACATCATATCAAAAGCTGTGGGATACTGCAAAAGCAGTACTAAGGGGGAAATTTATCACACTAAATGCTTATTTCAGAAGAATGGAAAGATGGCAAGTGAACAACCTAATACTTCACCTTAAAGAAAGAACTAGAAAAACAAGAACAATACAAACCCAAAGTTAGCAGACAGAAAGAAATCATTAAGATCAGAGCAGAACTTAATGAAATTGAAACCCAAAAAA